ATATATATATATATATATATATATATATATATATATATAATTTTTTCTGGGTGACTAACCACATCTTCTGCCTGAGGAACTCTGTGCTACCCACATCCTTTGCTCACCCCTATTGACACAAAGGAAAAGAGAGAGGAGCAATTACCTGATGCTGTCATTTGACATCAAGCTTTGGCTTGTTTGGGTGCTCTTCCAATTATTGAAATGGGACATTCTTAGGATGGTATCCAAACTCAACAGTGTTGGCAGGGTTTTGCTATTTCCTACTTCTTAGCCGTTGCCTTTATACAAAACCCTAAGATTTGTGGGGATTGCTCTCCATCCTTTCTCTGGCATCCTAGATCCTGACTCCAAGACTCTGGACTCCTTTGGAATGTTGACATTATGATGTTATGGGAAGGGTGTTTGCAATGCCATCCCCAGGATTCCACAGAGTGGGCACTCTCCAACAGATGTTAGCTCTGTGCAACCTCTGCACATTTTCCTCTCTGTGTTCTACAGCCCATGGCATTTAAGGAAGAATTTTCCTCGGTTGACTGGGGACTGGATGGGTCACAAACACACACCCCCGCTTTTGTTTGCATTGTTCTGAGTCAGAAGCATCTGATGTTTTAAAGACTGCTTGATTGTGTGCTTCCATTAACTTATAACTCTGTCCACATCCCCACATCCGAGAGGAGTGGAGGTCCCTGTGCCAGCAGCAGTGACCATCAGAGCTGCAACTGTGGTTGTGGAAACTGCTACATGGCTTTCACTATGCTTCCAGTGGTGACCACGTGAATCAAATCAAATGTACATTGCTCATAATTTCCATCATGGTTTCCTTTCTGACCCACAAAGAATTTAAAACCATTTTTAAGCTGCTAGATATGCAAGACTGTGTTTGTGTATTTCTCAATTTCTCTGTCCCTGCCCCCCTCCCCTCCCCTCCCCTCCCCTCCCTTCTCTTCATCTTTCTTCTCCCAACAACTTCTCTTTTAGAAGGTCAGGTCTCTTTCTTTCTTCTTCCTCTTCCTCCTCTCTACTGTCTTTTCTCCTTTTCTAGAATTCAGTTCCTTCCTTGCTGTACTCTGGTCAGCTATTATAATCTATTTTGGTTAAAAATATTCATTGAAATGTCCTTCATGGGCTGGAATGTGCTGTCTTTGAAAATATTCCCTGGATAATTGGAAAGAATGCAGATTATCTAAGAGTTGGCAAACCGTTCTACAGTTATGATCATGATCAAGTGTTATATCCCAACATCATTATTAATTTTTTGATGACTTAATCAACTTGCATTAATTAAGTATTAACATTGCACTTGCAAACATTCATAGTTTTATACTTCTGATGGCTTTCACTTTCGACATATTGCTGTTTTGTAGACAAAAAAACAAACACACAGACACATAAAGTCAAATACTGGCTTGGGTATATTTCAAACCAATTTTAAACCTATGCTATTGATTTTTTGGCTCAAATTTGTTAGTTTCCTAGTATACTACATAATAGCTTTCCATCTCACTAGATATTATAGTCTGAAGTTTATTTAACCTGAAATTCTATTTTATTAAAGTATCTTAATTTTCATTAGTATTTTAAAAATATAATTTATGTTTCTTTGTTCTGATTACATTTTTGAGTGATGTTTTTGTTATTCTCTTTTTCTGTGCTTTGCTTTAATTCTCTATTCCCACCTCCCTTTACATTAAGCCAGTTTTCCTCAGTGTGTTTCCTCTCTCACACTTTTCTTTTAGAAGTTACTTACTCTATTTAACCAGGATTGCAATGTGGAGCCGACTTTAACATGCTAAGCGAGCACCCTACCACCTAAACTCCATCCCAACTCTCTCCTCAGGTTTATTAGGAACCTAAATTTTGAGCATTTTAATGGCAAGGAAGAACTTTGGTCAAGTGAATTTCTACTTAGTTTAATTTTTCTCCCTCAAGCTATTACCATTGCTTGTCATAACCATTGTCTTAGTTCATTTTTGTCTATCAGACACAAACCTAGACACTAAAAGGGAACATCAGTTGAGGAATTGCCTCCATCAGATTGGCCTATGGTCATGACTGGGGTGGCATTTTCTTGATTGTTGATTGATGTAGGAGGGCCCAGCCCACTGTGGGTGGTGCCATTCCTAGCCAGGTGATCCTGGGTTGTATGAGTAAGGCAGTTGAGAAAGCCAAAGGAAGCCATCTAGTAAGTTCTGTGGTTTCTGATTCTAGCTCCTGCTTTGAGCTCTTTGCCTTGGCTTGCCTCTTGTCTTGATTTTAGTCTGCAACCAGTAAGTTGTAATAAATCCTTTCCACCTCAAGCTGCTTTTGGTCATGGTGTTCATCACAGCAACAGAAAGCAAGCTAGAACAACCATATATTTAACATCTTAGAAGTGCATTTCTGGAACTCATTTTTATTTTCCCTCTGATTGTAACCCAGTTTGTAAACAAAATCACACAGATGGAAAATAATGTTCCAACGACCTCATAAATATCTGAGAAGTGTTGAAGAATGTGAAAGTCCTTAAGCCAAGAGCACCTTTATGGATCCAGGCCAAAAAGACTAAGAACCCTTAGAGCTTGTAACATATTTTCTTCTACTTTATGTTTGTTCATTAAGAAAAACTCCATGCAAACACTAAGATACTAAAATACATATTTTATTATCTATATACTATTGCACTTGCATTTAGTCAGTTAACAGTAGATCTCTTCGGAATATGTCACCTATTATTGTCCTGTGATATATTGTTGTTTTTAGCCAATAGGGAGATTTATTTATTCTTTATCTATTTAGAGATAGGGTCTTACTATGTAGCCCATAGCAACAGTTGCATTAAAATAATGGACATTGAGCAAGATACTCAAGAAAAGGGCTAAAAAGCAAAATAAGACATTGTCTTTTTTTGTGTACGATAAAACTTGTGGAAGATTGGTCATTTCACAGAGCCCAGTTTGCTAAATTCCATCACCAAATGCAATGCTCTTCGTTACTCAACAAACATTAAAGAAGATATGTATACATAATTAACCTTAGGGTCTCAGGCTTAAATATGAAGCAAAGAATCAAAATGCTGAAATCTAAAATCCTCCTGAAGGCCATGTCTCTACCTTTGTTCACATGTCCCCAGGTGACAAAGGATGCACAGTACTTATGCAAGACTGAGTGGCAGTGTTTGGTGCTCCATACAGGATTGCCCTATTTGCTTCGTGTCTTCTCTCCCTGGTGTGCGCCTGTCCCCTTCCCAGCCTTCAGTCCTCCCTGTAGAGAAAGAATGAAGCTCAGATACAACAGTGCAGTGACTGAGAGATCAGGTCTGCTGCCAGACAGACATGGCATTCCCACCGTCTATCTCTGTGAGTCTGGTAAGCCACTCAACCTCTCTGTGCTCTAGTTTCTTCATCTTTATGATGGCTCCTCCTCAAGAAGTGAGGTTAAATAAACTAACAGCTTGGGGACATAGAAAACTACAAACCAGATGCTCAATAATCATTGGTACTATTCCGGGGTCAAAATCTTTTCGTTAGTTCGAAAGGATAGGTGGAAAGACAAAACAGGAAATACAATATAACTTAATTAAAATATTAGCTGTATTCAGCCGGGTGGTGGTGGCATACACCTTTAATCCCAGAGGCAGAGTAAGGCATATCTTCCTGAATCCAAGGCCAGCCTGGTCTTCAGAGTAAGTGCCAGGACAGGCTCCAAAGCTGGACAGAGAAACTCTGTCTCAATAGATATGTCTTAGTTTGTGGATTATTATATCTTTATTGCTTTATTTTTTTCCAAAATGACTGTGCATTGCTTGTGTTTAAAGACGCTCTGAAGTAGAGCTACTTGTATGCTTTCTGTTTGTGGAGTCAAAAGATTGGGCTATAATTGAAAGAGTCTACAGTTGATGCTGGTCATCTTTCTGGCTTCACACTGTTGGCAGGAAAACAATCAGACAGGTAGCCTCTGCCCAACAGAATGCTTTTCTAAGAATTCTAAAGCTCTTAGTGCTTGGAAAGGACTTCTCAGTTCTCAACCACACCCAGGGTAGGATTTCTCCAGAGAGAACCAGGCCATTTTCCCAAGGCCCTTAGGGAACAAACTGTATTTCGTATTCTATTTATTGGAGGAAGTGGGGGGGGGGTTGGATCAGAGTCCACCAGGAGTGGAAACCAGAAACTCTGCCTAATAGCATAGGGTATCCCAAATGCCTTTGCTTCACCATCTACTTCTTTTACTTTTCTTCTCATCTTAAAAAAAAAAACAAAAAAACAAAAAAACAAAACTATTCTTCAGACTTCAGTGGAAGCAAACATCTCAGGTTTCCTGAGAGGCCACTGTTCTATGCCATTGTCTTTCTCCTCGTTTTCAAAAGTACTGCAGGTTGGAGAAAGCAATCCTATGGAATGTCTTTTGAAGTCTTGTGTGACTCCGACCACTGATGGGTTAGATACTTCAGCTACGTGTCAGACCTAAGCTGGGCTGATGTAGCAACTGCAAACTGAGACATAAATACTGAAGCAAGAAATAGTATCAAGCTGACTCTTAATGACTTATCGGTCATGTTCATTCTCTCAACTCTCATCAGAGATGTTTCTATTTGCAGCAGATGGTGATTAGCACAGAGACCCAAAACTGATGGCAGTGCAGAGAGTAATTTCGAGTTGCTCATCCCTGAGTGGGTCTTCTCTGTCATACTCCCCTCCTCCCAAGACTCAGGGGTCAGGCCAGAAGAAGAGACAAAAGAGTGTAAGAGCCAGAGATGGTAGATGACTGTATGGTGTTTTCTGAACACAGTGGGCCAGCTGACCATGGGAACTCACGGTAACCATGACAACATCCACAAGCTCTAGGCAGACCCAATCCCAGAATGAAGAGGATTGGTGGGAATGACTTGCTGTTCCTAGAAGAGGAGCTCCTGGCAACGGACAGCTGCTGGCCAATTTTCTTTAAGGAGTATAGCCACTGGGAAGTTGAGCATGCTCCAGTGGAAGGCCACACTCCCACAGATATGAGTGCTGCACAAATTGGACTTGATGGATGGAGAAAAAAGAAAGGACACAAAGTAGGGTGGATAGGGAAGGGGCATGGGGTGGGTCTTTAAGGATCTGGGGGAGGGGTGAATAGGATGAAAACACATTGCATGAGATCTTAAAGAAATAATAAAACAACAGCAAAAATCAAACACTGAAGCAGAGGCTGGGGGTGATTTGGACAGTCTAAGGACCTGATCTGAGATCTCC